AGGGAGCTCTCCCTTTTCAAGGTATGTGATCAGGGGGCTCATCCAAGTTGTACCTGGACCGGATATCTCGAGGACAGGGACCGCCTCTTCCCAAACAGGACAGATCCTCTCGTGCTGCCTTACCATACCCTCCATGTGGATGGGAATGGTCCTACATAATTTAGCAAGCATATCCGCCTCTTCATTCTCTTCTCTTGGAACATATATGAGCTCATAAGACTCAAATTGTCCAAGTAGAGTCTTGGCGCAGTCCCTGTATTTCTTCAACCTTCCTTCCTTGGCCTCCATTTCTCCTTTTAGCTGTCCGATGGCCAATTTTGAATCGGATTTAAGGTGAATGTGCTTTATCTTCATGAATAGGGCAATTTGGATTCCTCCAATGAGGGCCTCATATTCTGCTTCGTTGTTGGTGGCCCGAAACATGAACTTAAAGGAATGATAAGCCTTGAAACCTTCAGGGGAGGTGAGGACCGCTCCTCCTCCTGAACCGTCTTTAGTGCAGGATCCATCTGAATGGACCTCCCATAATTCCCTTTTTCTCTCCTGACCGGTCCCATCCTCTTCTGGCTTCCCTCTTGCTGTGCACTCCACTATAAAATCTGCAATGACCTGGCCCTTCTTGCTAGAACGGGGCTGGTAAGAAATATCATATTGAGAGAGGACCATGGCCCACTTAATGACCCTTCCTGAAGAAGATGGGTCTTTCAAAACTGCTCCCAAAGGCTGGTTCGTCATGATTCTCACTGGGTGAGCTTGGAAATAGGGAGTTAACCTCTTGACAGTTACCACCACCGCCAAAACACATTTTTCCAAGGGAGTGTACCTTGTTTCCGGTCCTCTTAAGGCCCTGCTCGTGTAATAAACTGGCTTTTGGACTCGTTCTTCTTCCCTCAAGAGGACCGAACTCACTGCCAGGTGGGCCACCCCCAAGTATAAGAAAAGGACATCCCCTGCCAATAGCTTGGAGAGGACCGGTGGAGAGCTCAAATATGCCTTCAAGTGTTCAAAGGCCTCTTGGCAATCTGCGGTCCACTGGAAGTTTCCCCCTCCCTTTAGAATCGTGAAAAAGGGCAGGGACCGCTCCGTGGACCGTGCCAAAAACCTTCCTAAGGCTGCTATCCTCCCTGCTAATCTCTGGACTTCCCTCAAATTCGTTGGTGGTTCCATGCCCTGGATGGCCTTCAACTTGTCCGGATTGACCTCAATCCCTTTCTTGCTCACCAAGTAACCAAGGAATTTTCCTCCCTAGACCCCAAAGGCACATTTTTTGGGGTTCAATCTCAAATTATGCTTCCTCATGATGCTAAAGCATTTCTCCAAGTGCTGAGGATGGTCCGCTGCTTGCTTACTTTTGATCAATAGGTCATCCACATAAGCCTCCATGATCTGTCCCAGGACCTCCTTGAATAATAAAGAGATCATTCTCGTAAATGTGGCCCCCGCATTACGCAGCCCAAAAGGCATGACCACGTAACAATATACTCCTTCAGGGGTGATAAAGGCGGTGGATTCCGCATCATCTTTGTCCATGAAAATTTGATGGTATCCTCGGAAGGCGTCCATAAAACTCAATAGTTCATGGCCCGCCGTTTCATCTACTAGTTGATCTACTCTTGGTAGGGGAAAGGGGTCCATAGGACATGCCTTATTGAGGTCAGTGAAGTCCACACACATGCGAAAGGTGTCCCCTTTTGGTGCCAGCACCACATTGGCGAGCCATTTGGGATATCGGACCTCCCTAATGTGGCTGGCCTCCAAAAGGGTTTTCACCTCCTTCCTCACAAATTCTTTTCTGTCCGTGGACAGATATCTTTTCTTCTACTTGACCGGGAAGGAGTCCATCTCGATGTTCAACCTGTGGCAAATGACTGAGGGATCGACTCCGGGCATATCCTCGGATTCCCATGCAAAGAGGACCGAGTTTTCTCTTAATACTCAGATTATCTCTTCACGGGTATCCTCCCCTAGCCCTAAACCGATCCTCACAACCTTTTCTTGATCCCCTTCCGGGAATAGCACCACTTCCTCCATTTCCACCGCTGGCTTGGGCCTCTCCCGGTCTTCCTCCTTCTTTTCTTTATCTTCCAAAACATGCCCGATGGTTTGGATGTTGAGGTTCTCCTTGTCTATCTTCTTACAAGCGCTTAGATAGGCCTTCTTGGCCGCGGGCTGATCACCAAGCACCTTCCCAACACCTTCGGGAGTCCTAAACTTGAGGCACAGGTGTTCAAGGGATAGTGCACCTCCCAAGTCCTCTAGCCCAGGCCTCCCTAAGATGGCATTGTGAGCGCATTTGATGTCGGCCACTACAAAATCCATCCTCATATGCCTCACCTTAGGATGCTCGCCTATGATGATGTCCAATTTAATGGACCCTTCCGGTTCAATTATATCTCCAGTGAAGCCAGACAAGGGCATGTTAAGGTTTGTGAGATCTTCCTTCCTGATTCCCAATTGTTGGGCGGCTTCCCAGTACAGCACATTGACACTACTTCCAGTGTCCACCAAAATTCTTTTGACAAAAAATTTGTGAATAGCCATAGAAATTACCAGGGGGGTCCGATGAGGACTAAGAATGAATGGTAAATCTTCGTCCGAGAAGACAATGGGCTCCCTCCTTCCTTTCTTGGCTGCTTGGCCTATGTCAATGGACCCCACATACAGCTTGCGAGCCCATTCCTTCCTCTCTTTGCCTGTGACTCCTGTTTCTGGACCGCCAAAGATGACTCGTACTTGGGGAAATTCTTCCGGGTTCTCCTGGACTTGCTGTTGAGGTTGGGCGTCCCTACGCCAAACATTACCTCCTTGGTTCGGCTCTTGATTGGCATTCGGTTCCTTGTCCTTCATCTCTCCTTCCATTTTTTTGAGGAAATGGCATTCTTCAGTGGCGTGTCCAGGCCTTCTATGGAAGTTGCAATATTTTTCTGGGTCATAGGGCCACTGCCTTCTCTTTTGATCTCCACGTTTCCTCTTCTGCCCACCTTCCTCCTTGCTCTCAATTTCTGCCACTGGTGCGGCCAGTGACTTGAGGGTAGGGATGGAGAGAGTGGCCGCCTTGGTCTTTTCTCCTTTCTTTTCTTTGTCCGGGCCTTTATGCCAGGCTCCCTCGCTCTTTCCTTTCAGGCGATCCGACTCTTCCGTGGCGCAGAACTTGTTAACTCTAGCCATCATAGCCTTGTAAGAAGTAGGGGTATCATAATCTAACTTCCTGAATAATTCCCCCGACCTGAGAACATTCATGAATAGAGCAATGGAAGTCTTATCGTCCATAGGCTCCACCTCATTGATTGCTTCATTCCATCTTTGTACCAATTCACCGTTGGTCTCTCCCTCCTTTTGCTTTAAGGAGAAAAGATGGGTGAAGTGCTTTTTTGGCTGGAACCTTCCTCCATAGGCGTTGAGAAAAAGTTGAGCAATATCTTTGAAGCAATCAATGGTCCCATTAGGAAGAGTGAGGAACCATTTTACGGCCGGCCCTTCCAAGGTTCCTACGAAGAGGCGACATTGGATCTCATCCTCCACGGCGTGCATCAACATGTGAGTTTGGTACGTAGCCAAGTGATCATTGGGATCGGTGACTCCCTTATAACGGATTTCAGGGGCTTTCATACCCCTGGGCAGTTGAGCTTTCATCACTCTGGCAGTAAAGGGAGAAATTATCTCTACTGTGGGCCCGAAAGACCCGTCCTTGTCAACCTGCCTCTTTAGTTCCTCCAGTTCTTTTCTCAATTTGAGGATGTCTCCGGCATCTTCATTGCCGTGCCCCCCAGAATTTTCTCCAGATTCCTCAGTCCTGGGTCCCAACCTTTGGGACGCATTTTTGCGCATCCTCTTATGTACTGATATGTGCCCTTGACTTTCCACCTCCTCATCCTCTCCTTGACCTGTTTCTCTCCTGGTCCCTTGGGAATCCTTTAGATGAGAACTCTTAGGGGCTTTAGAGTGGAAACTGCGTTCACCAGATTTGTCTTGTGTTTCACGCCTGGATTGGGAGAGAGTTATTTGGTGTCTGAGATCCTCAGATGAAAGCTTCTCTTTCCCTTCCAAGTTGGTTCGCGCCTTAGCAGCAATTTTGTTCCTCTTGGACCGATTTTTGCCCAGAGTAACAGTTGGAAACCTTTTCTTGATGAAAAAGGCGGACCAACGGGAGAAAGCGGCCCCTGAGCAAGAAATCGGTCCTCCTGTATGACCGGCTGATAAATGCGGTCCTCTGTGGAAGATCGGTCCTCCTTTCACTCTCTCTTTTTTTTTGAACAATGGACCGACTAAAAGGAGGAGTCCTTCTGGGTGGACCGCGAACTTATCTCCTTCACTTGGAATGGACCGCTAATTCTCCCTAGGTCTAGGAAGAGGTCTTTCCGAGTGAACAAGAGTGAGATAGGCTCGCTATCAACTCCCGAGAAGGTTAAGAAGCTTTAATCGGTCCCACGGTCGGCGCCAGTGATGGATACCCAATATTTTCCCAAGGACTGTAGATCGGCCTAGGTCCAAATATAGGTATCCGGGCCTTATAATATTGAAAGATAATACGAGAATAATAATTAATAGTAATAGAAGCACTGCTCACTGGATAATAACTCAAATCGGCGGTCTTCTCCTTTATTCGGTCCTCTTAGGAACGGAATATGCTTAAGGATTGCCAGAATATCTTTTATTATTTACTCAAGTATTTTTCTCTCCTTCTTACCAGATATCTTAATCCCTCAATCCTTCTCTCTTTTATAGGCGCTCCCAACTGTTATCTCCTACAATAATAGCAGTGATTGGGGAGAACATCCGCGCCAGCCTTGCTCTTT